ATTGTCTTTAGATTCAAGAATGGTTTGATGTCATCTGGATAATCAGCTCCGATAACCGTGTTGCTCGCGACTGTTTCCAAAATAAATTTTCCATATACGCGTGGATAGCCTAATATAAAACTGGAACATAGAGTTGCCTTTAGTATCCCATTACCTACGTCTATAAAATGTATAAAGGCCAAAGAATCATCTGAGTTCATGCTTGTCCCGACGTCGATTCAATTCACGAATTGCCTGGATTTTCGCTCGTCAGTATAAGGCCAAGAAAATCAACGCCCTGCTGAAAGAGTAAACATTTCTTGGCATTAAGTCGAAGGTTTGCCTTAAGGATACGTGTGAATACTTCTTGTAACTTTCGTTAGTGTTTATGAAATGTTTTTTTCCACCAGTAATGTATGATTGAGGTAGAATCTTCACGCAAGTCCTCGTAGTTAATAGAACGATTTCCATCAGACTCTCAAACACGTAGCTGGGGCGTTACAGAGCCCAAAAGGCACTATTCTGAATTGGTAAAGACCACTTCCCAGTCTTTTCTTTGCCTTTCTCGGTAATCCTTATCTGCCAGTTACCGTTTTTTTGGATCCAGAGTAGAAAACCATTTTGAGCGACGACCACGGACTTGAAAACTCTTCAACAACTCCCTCTGCAAGCATACTATCTACTAATGACTCCACTTCTTGTTGTTTTGTCATGGGAAGTCTTCTAGATGGTTTCCAAATCGGATTATCACTGCCAGTATTACAGACTTTTATACTTGATGATATTCGTCTTACCAGTTTCGTCATTTTCACCCTGAAAGATATCCTTGTTTTCGCAAACGAATTGTTGAGCCTTCATCAGTTCCGCAGAGAAAATATGTTTCCAAGATATCACGATTTGTCTTAGAATGTCGCTGGATGATTTATTTCCTCTCCTCTCCTCCTTTGAGAGGCTTATAGGTGACTATGACATTGGCTTGTTTATTTGAATAGTGTTGTGGCAACGGCTTGCTATTCGGACTGGCATGATTTCCTGTCCATGTAATTTTTTTTTTGGTGTTGCCGTGTGTTTTTGTACAGTGTGTGTAGCTTTAACGGTGACAGACCTCGACCCTTACGTTTGGACAACTCGAACTATCCAGTGCCAAATTTTAGGACATTGGAACTGATGGTCGAACGCCAAACCGTGTTGACAAATTACACTAGTTTACAAGGATTTCGCATCACAGTAGCGGCATATATTTTTTGTTTTATTAAGCATTCCTGATTCCTAATAAATTCATAAAATGTCTCCATCACGTCAATTTTTTTTTATATAAAAATACTAGCTGACCCGGCGAACTTCGTACCGCCTCTGAATTATTAAATATACCTATTAAATGTTGTGTTAACGTATCTATTAGCTGAATTAAATTCAGTTTTTTTCGATGGTGAATTTGGCTTTGGTTGAAGAAAATTAATGTTTACTCTCTGGATCAGAAGTCACCTAAAATTAAAATTTTACATCATCCTTTTTTAGGCAGCTTGTGGGTATTATTCTTGTAAAGTGTACCACCAAATAAATAAACTCAGGCACAGGAATGTTCAAAGAATGTAAGAAAACAAAAAAATCTCTAGCGCAGCCCTGTTTCACCCTATCTGCACTGCATGCACTGCACTACTCCATCTGTTCTACTCTATCTGCACTACTCTATCTGATCTACTCTTTCTGCACCACTCTATCTGATCGGAATAGTGGAATAGTTCTGTTCGAAATAGCTCCAGTTCCTGAGCAGCACTGTTCTACTGTATCTGCAATGCCGAGCTCCGTTCCCGGTATCAGAGATGGCGCGGTATACAAAATACAAAATACAAAATAAACTTGGTATCGGTTATTGATTGATCGGAGATTGTGTCGTATGCGGGCTTAGTAATTTTTTTTCATAAATAAATAAAATAAGTAATGAAATGACCACATTAATGACATAACAACATGCTGGTACTGTCAACGCTGAAAAAAGTTTCAATTTGACAGCAAAATCCCCATTAACAAAATGATCATCCATTTATTGAATAATTCATTTATTACAAAAAATGTGACAAATGAAGAACCGCTCGACCGATTTTGTGCAAACTTCACATAAACCATCTAATAAATAGTCCGAACAAAGCCTAAACATTTGGTTTGGCTAGGTGAGCCCGTTCTTGAGTTATAAAATTACAACGAAAAGTGGCATTAATTTATATATATATATATATATAGAATAGATAAACTTCCCACATACCCTTAACTATACCGCCTATTAATCAAATAAGAAAATCAGGGAACACAAAAACTCCAGATATTTGAAGTAGACAATTTTGATATGATGCATAAATCGATAAGTCTAACACAGTATAGTTCCCTTTGTTTCGTTTTTGAGAGTAGATTGCCAAAAAATTAAAACAAAATCTTTGGAGAAAGAAAATATACGTCAATTTTTATTTAAAAATCCTGACGTGATAGTGAAATTCTGTAATCAAATTTGGCTTTAGCAATAGCGTTTTAACCAAAATATGATACTCTGGTTTCTGTTGCGAACCAATTCTTTTTGTTTGTAGACTAGTGTTATTTCCTTACCCAAAATAAACTCTTCTTCTATCAGCAATTAGCACGGTGTTATAGATCTTGATATTTCCTATTCTCAGATCGGTTTCTGTTTCTTCATCTTCATTTGCGGTATCTCCAGTCACTGTGCGCAGAATATGTTCCCTTGAAAGGGGCTTCGCATTGAACTTTCTGGAAATGTCAATTATTAGATATACGGCTGCAACAGTGTCTACTGTTATGGTGCTACTTTTACAATAAAATGTTCCTTCAATTGTCAAACTGTCCGCAGTCTTTCTTAGCATTCTGATGGATATGATTCTGGGGGTTTCACTGGTAGCCAACACCCGCCGCTCTATGTTACATAATTGTAGTTATCCTGATTCTCCTTTAAAGGCTGAGAGCAACCAGGAGAGCGAGATCTTAGTCGTACTCTAGCATTTAATGCCCCCTTCCCCACTTTCCAGTTCTCCTGACTGTGTCTTCAATTTTTCCCATTGGCTCTTTTTCTCCCCGAATGGACACAGCTGTGATCCCCACTTTGGATATCTTATAGGTTTCTTCAATTTTTAGGGCTTTGATAAGAGCTTCTACTTGATGGTTTGGTTATGAGCAACATTATCTGTACGTCCATAGCTCTAATTCCATTTATGAAGACATGCCCTTTGCGGATGACATCGTCCACTTCAGCAGCAACGGAGCTAATTAAAAAAGTACTTATCAAAGTTTCTAGCGTAACGAGCTTCAAATTTATAATTTACCACCAATTGACGAGCATATTGAGTCCCAGAAAGCATCATGCTAGCGATAACGATCTGGGTGTAGTCGGAGAGAACAATAATTATCTGATGGATGAGATAATCCGACAGCAAACATGACCAGACCAATTGATCTCACCTCGATGAAGCATGAAAAACTCCGTTGCATACTCTGCGAAGCGACCTCGTAAACCTCGAAAGGAATGTCTACAACGCTTACCTCCTATCCCACTTGTAGGAGACATGCGTTAAACACGATAGTGAAACTCGCAGATGTAGGATAACGAGCGACGTTGCCGTTGGTAGCAAAATAATTTTAAAAAAAGAATCCGCAACAAGTTGATTATAAATAGAACAGGAGCTTGTGACGAGAGGCGAGATTTAATGGAAACCAACGGAGCCAAAGTAGAATTTCGCCTGTACCCAGACGATATAGATAGATGACATTCAAGGGCGATTAAAAAAATCGGCATCCAGATCGGCTAGCCAAGATTGGTGTGGAAATTTTTGAAAGAGGTCAATGTTCATGTCCAGGAATGGCCATCCATAAGCTATCTTAATATAGGTGGGAAATAAATTGTATGATATTCTCCCTCATTCTTTTTGGTTTTGTTATAGTGTAGTTATCTACCTATTATAAACCCACATAGGCCAAATTTTCGGGTTTCATATCTAAAGCTTTTAAATTCTAAGGCACATCTTGAACACATATCGCATAAAGTAACTCCTACGCTTTATCGTTGTAGAAATTAACTTACACATAAGAGTAAAATAAATGTGTATAACGAATCCTTTTTGTCTCATTTCAGATACATGATCTCAATATGGGGCACGGGGCACTTGTGGTACAATTGGGTTAAGATCCATGCAAACGTTACAAAATAGAATATTGAAGATTCTTTTTTCATTTGAGTGGTTATAATTCCCACCGATTAGGTACCCTTACAGTGAGTTGATTTGGGTCTCTGTCAGTTGAGTAAGCTACTGGAATTTGCAGTGTAAACATATACATAAAATAATTGATAAGACAATTAAATGTAATACCAACTTGGCTTTCAATATTGTGTCTAATAACCCATCAAGTACAGCTATAAGTCAGTATCAGTATCAGTCAGAATATCACAAATTGTACTGCATTTAAAAGTAAGCTTAACAATATCTACAAATACTTCAATAAACTACTCTGTACTGCAATATTCATAACTAGCTGGTAAGCATAAAATTTGCTAATGATTCCGATACCAGTGTTCAACAAATTGCTTAGGACACATTGCTTAGGAATATGTTATTGTTATTGTAACGTAAATATATTTTATGTTTTCAAAAAAAAAGTACGTGCAGTTCCAAGCTCTCCGTTTTTAAATTTAGAAATTTTCAAAGTTGTGTAGGATTGAAACTATGCACAAATATTCTGGAGGAAGGATAATTTTCGGTTGCAGTTTGTGATCTCTGCCCAGTGCAGAAATGTTGACAGAATCGTTAGATGTAGTGGGAACAGACCATGCACTTCAACTTGCTCAAAAATTAACAGGTGTTATGATAAAACAATTTTTTCAACTTTTTCAGAAAAAAAAAAAAACGTAACAGTAAAATTTGGGAAAATCAAAAAGTACCTATTTAATAATTATTATAAGAACTCATTGTTTTTTGTCGTGTTGTATGGACTTTTGTAGGCTCGTGCACGGCCGGGCAAGGAGGCAATCAGACCGTGACCCAAGAAATATTGTCGCATATTGGCAATTTTATGTCGCGAGTGTGGCATTATTGAAATTGTTTTTATTTCAAATAAGAAATTCACTTTATTTCTCCCCACACAACGTGTTGACAGAATCTAATACCTGATAATAAGTGAATGATTGATGTAATTTCAAGATTGACTTATCGCTTGGATGTATATCGGCGGTGTATCTAATTTGTGTGTGGACATGCTTCGGCTTTGAATAATAATTGTTTTTATGAATATTCAGTGAAAAATTGACTACTTACGATATAATAGTGGTTATTTCTCAAATAGAGGGCGTTATGGAAATGGAAATAATGGTGAATAGGTATTTAAGTCTTTGAGTAACGTTTATAGTTTGGGGTTATTTTTTGGCTCTGAAATGTTCAAAAGAGTATTTTGCAAATGTTATTTTAATTGAAGTAAAATTCTCAGACAAAAGCTAGATTTAAAAAAAAAAAATTGAAGTTGAATAATACTTAAATTGATTCAGTTAAGAAATTCATTCTAACAACTAGACTAATCGGCCAATTTCGCCGACGAAAGCTATTGGGGGAAAGAAATTCTACTGGCACCGGTTTTTGAGTGATGATGCGACTGAAATTTACGCAAATTGCGTTTACATAAATGAATAGTTATGTAGTTGATGAAGAGACTGAGTACTGATTCAACTATTGTATTCAGGATTTTCCTCAGTTTATACAAAAGGAACTGATGCTTCTACAGGTAGGTTCTAGTCACTTGATTAAAGTCTACAAAGTCCCTGAAGTGGAAGTGTAAAAGTAAAATTTGGAAACACAGTAAAGGTCTAAAATTATGCTCCGAAACGAAATATCGAGACATCTCGGTTTTTATCGACTTTATGATAAAAAAGTAGGTACTGTCGAAGAGAAAATTATGGCAATTTCCTACAGAAATGATGAAAGGGACTGTATACGTAATCCTTTTTCCAAGATTTTGCATTGAATTTAACTTATTAAGGTAACTATTATAGGTAATTCAACCACTTAATTCCACTATTCCTTAAGGTTGGGTACTGGGCGCGGTTTTTTTTATGTGGGTTCCTCGGCGGGCCTAATCCACGACCTATAAAAAAAAAAATTAATAAAATGTCAAATCATTAACTTTCTTCTTCATCGTTCCCTATAAATTCATCGATTCATTTTTCGAGGAAATCCGAATCAATCTTAGAGCTTTTGCTTCGTGAAGAATTCATTTTTTGTTCGACCTTCCCTTTGCCTGGTTTAAGGAGAAAAATATCTTTATCAAGAAGTGTACGATAAGTTGAATTTGTAGGAAGATCCACGACTAGTATTTTGAGTTAATTCTTCAACCGCTGTTTTCGACTATCAAAATGTCAGCACTATCTTCAGCATGTCTAAAAATATAATTAATTTCTTCAATTTTTTCCGTTAACATCGAAAACAATCTGCTTTTATTTTTATTGCTGCGACCATCTTTTATTCATCAAAGTAAATGTCAACAGGTGAAGCTTTTGTCGAATGGCGAAACTGCTCCATAGCCTCAACGCTGTTGCGAATACGAAATCCCCCATCAACGATATAAGTGGCATTTTGGAGATCTAGTTCAGCCTCGGATGGCTCAAATTTATTATACAAAGCTGAGTTGTTCGTTTTGTACATACCAGCTTCGGGATAAAAAGTCATTTGATACTCCAAGAAGGTGTAAAGCTCTCTATTTACTCTCTTGTTGACAGTAATTTTTTGAAAAAACTACAATGCCATTGGCAGTTGACAGTCAAAGCATTCTATCAGAACGTGAGGATTCAATATCAAGGGAATTGTTGACAAGTTTGCATCAGTTTCAATCGTATGAGCATCATAACAGGTTATGTTTCCATCACATTTGTTGCAATCGACATAATTTTTTGTACAATTGGGAAGGGATTATAAGAATTCAACCAATCTGACAGTTTATGAATGTCCCTTGCTGTTTCTCAGAGTAAAAAAAAGTTCACAAAAATACACGAGTCCTTCGCAGATGTTACTTACAGTCAATAGTCCACAAACTCATTTGTTCACGATACTTCCATTTGTACTTTTTCAACGAGTAACACCTTGTTCTAATTTCGACGACTGTTCAATTATCATTCCACTAGATGCTTCACAGAAATATTTATCTGAGCGATTATGCAAGGAAAGTTATTGGTGAACTTATGGAAAGCTGCGCTACCCATTGGATTATCAAAATTTTTCATCTCTCGCAGGGCAGGGAAACCTCATCAAAAAAAAAAACGCGCCGAGTACTCAACTTCAAGGGTGGTGTGGAATAGAGTACCTACTTACTTAAATTGTCTATAAACGATTGCGTGGCTACCTTCATGATGTTAAAAAACAACATTCATCTTTTTCTTCTGATATATTCTTGTAGATTCAATGAAAACCGAGATATCCCAAATAACAAAGAATTCCTTTCAGAACTCGATTTTAGCCTCTTACAGCGTTCCCAAACTTTATCCTTACACTGCCACTTCGGGGACATATTTGTGACCTTATCCTGGAAACTAGATAATATCTGGAGCACCATCATATACGCTTGTATAAATTGGTCTGAAGAATTTGGTTGTTTTTCAATAAATGCATTGGATGATATGTATAAAGGTTTATTCCAATAAAGGAAGCACTTTTTTTGTGTGTTTTATAGACTCCATTTTCCCAATAACGGCCAGCCCCGCTATTTAGATGTACAATTCTAACGATAAATAAGTTTGATGAGTCCATTCGAACAAGCAACTGTAACTAAAACCTTTGAGGAAGAAGTTTTGAATTAGCTTTTCAAGAGTTAAAAAATAATATTTATTAAATATTTTAAGGATATTGCGAATAACAATAAATAAACTTTCCTCTCTTGATTCTTGAGGCACTAACGTCTGAATTATTTTAAAAAACCTTTGCTTTCTGTAATGAGTGTAATGTAAAAAATCAAATCTTCAAGTGCTTCTTTTATGATTATCTTCCGTATATCATCCAAAATTAATAAATTCTTAAGGCCAAAAATGTATTGCATTTCCATTAATAAATAAAATTTAAATTAATTCAATTGTTGTCGGCCAGTAGTGAGATCCTTTTTTAGTGAAAGGGACCTTGCTCTTCAAGATGCTGGAGACACACACCACCGTAGGTACCATGGGGGGGCTTTATATATACCGGGCGGGGCCCTGCTATCAGCACGCAGTAATAACTCTGTACTCAACAGTCCTAGCCATTTCAACTAGGAGGTAGAGTAATCATGCAGTTTTTGGTAAGTACCAATTACGACTACGTTGAACTGAAAAGTTATAAGTGGATTATTTTGTGGCAGTGCACGTGTAAATATTATTGTTTTTTTTTTTTCATATTTGCTTTTTTTCGTTTACTTATTTCATTGTGGGTACTTATGTTTGTGGGCTTTCTTTTATTATACAAAATGTGCTAAATTAGGAAACCTTTGAATCCATGAAAAAACGGCTGCAGGTAAATTTTTGTGAAATATTTTGTTGCTGCGAATAATATTTTATTTTTTTTTTTTTTCGAGAAGTTTGTACTCCACTGCAACTTTTTTTTCATTATTTTTCTCTTCACCTTTTATGAATACTTACCTACCTGAAGTTGCAAAAATAACATTTCTGATGGCTATCTATACTTTTTGTTTAAAAGTATTGAATTGTTTCTAAATTTATTTTGTATCTAAGAAAATTTTCGGAAATGGTATAGGTACAGGGTTTCTCCATATATTTTTGCATCCCACCTGCAGCCTTTACCTTTACAGGTACATGATAGGTGTAATTAAAAGCTGTGCAGTTTTAGCGAAATTTTTAGAATCCCTCGTCAGAAACAAAAATGTATTTTCAGAAATTTGAAATAATGCGTATTTTCAACTTTTTCCAAATGGAATATGGCCTATATTTGATTCTATATTCTTGAAGAGCACAATTTTCCGATTCCAAAAATAAATAGTTTCTCTATATTCGGTTGAGCAACATATTTGGCTCTAAAAATTGTTATAATACTATCCTACTGCCTGCTACTGCCTTAGCTTTCGTGAACCATTCTGTGAAGCTGATAGTTGCAGGTAAAATTGGAGGCACTTGGTTTCTCTGATAGTATTTTTAAAATTTTTAGAGCCAAATATGTTGGAGACGACTCAACCAAATATAGACAAACTATATATTTTTGGAATCGTAAAATTGTGCTCTTCAAGAATATAGAATCAAATATGGGGCATTTCATTTGAAAAAAGTTGAAAGTACGAAAAATTTCAAATTTCTGAAAATAAATTTTTGTTTTTGACGAAGGATTCTAAAAATTTAGCTAAAACTGCTCCATTTTTGTATTTACACCTATCATCTACCTGTAAAGAAAGGCTGCAGGTAGGGGACAAAAATATACGGGAAAACCCTGTACAATATCAAATGCAAATCACTTTAAACTTAAAACAAAAATTACAGATTTTACTTTTTGGCGGAATTTTCATATATTTTTTTAATTTTCTTTTTATCTTAAGTGTATTTTGCCATACGAAATTTGTTGCTTGCTTTTGCTGATTTAACTTTTTTCTCGTGTAACTGCTGATGAGATGGTGCGGTCAACAAATACCAAAATCTTTCAGAGGTGTCATCACAGAATAATTAATAATACGAGACAAATTTTTTACTTATTTTGGTTTCCTTTTAATTTTCTGATAAATTGCTTTCTCCATGTGAAAAAAATGCATCACACTGTTATTCCAATTTGTTTTAATAAATTGAGTCATATCTATATAAAACAAAAATATTTTCCTGAAATTGATTCTAGAGCAAAATTTTGAGATCTGAACTCTCGATTTAGATCGTCGACAATAACGATTGAAAGAAAATAATTTATTCCACCATTATTCACTGTCAAAAAACCTATAAACCAAAAAATAACTCCTAAAATCATATATAGAAGACAGGCGAATGAAGACATCTAACGTTTAAACAAAAAGATCTTTTAAACCGAACCGAGCAAGTCCTCAGAAATTCTTATCTTTTAAAGTAGGTACACCCTTTGAGTTAACCAATTTACCTTTAAAATGACATCAACAACAAAAATCGCCTTGCTCTTCAAAGTAATACAACAAGGTTGGTATTAATGACATTTAACTAATTTAATTAGGTAAAACCTTAACATTTATTTGAAACAAAAAAGACGCTAACTCTACCTACAAATTTGAGACACATTATGCTCCAACGTCTTCATTTAAATTTCAAAAAGTTGTGTAGTTTAGTGGTCTTCACTAGTAAAGGTGGTTTCTTCCGATTTTTGAGTATCTTTTTGTAGGTCGGATTTTTTAATTACGTTTTTCCTAATATTACAGTATCTTTTTGTAGGTCGGATTTTTTAATTACGTTTTTCCTAATATTACAGTCCCAGCTGTTTGTTTTAAGTGATTAATGATCTGACCGCGTCAGAACAATACAAACTCATTGTTGTCCTTTTCGGAAACGCTAAATCAATTATTCCAATCATTAGCTAATGTAATTTGACTTTTTTCAATTCATTCAATTTCACATTAAATTACCCATTTGATAATCAAGTTAATGAAATTATGTAAAATTTCAAAATATATTTTTTTTTGAATTATTGTTATGAGTATGTGTAGCATTTATCACAACCAACTATTAATTTATTTCAATAATCTGATTTTTTATCCTACTTTAAGTCCGGATAATAAATCAAATTTTTTGCTTTCAGTCTCAACAGATAATTTAATAAATATGTATAAGATAATAATTTGGATATTTAATTTCTGTTGCAAATTAGGTGTTACTAAAACATGTCACAATAAACATTAAAGATTATTATCATAGTAGGTATACTGTACAGGGTATTTGATTATATTTGGCACCATACCTACAGCCTTTACTATTTAAGATAGAAAAAAAATTTAAATACAAAATTTGACAGTTTTTTTCTATATTTTCTTTTGACAGTATCAAAAAAAACAAAATCGCATCGGAAAACGGAGAAACGTAGGCAACTTCATCTTTTTTCAATGGAACACCCTGTATATTATGCGATAAAATTAAAGATCTTTTCTTCCTGATTTCAAATATATATATATATATTGAGCACATTTGAGTGAGCCGTTTTTGAAATATTTTAGCTTAAATTTGCAAAGAAATTTCATAAGGATGTCAAGACATTCAAATCTTCATAAAATTCCTTTGGATTTTATTTAAAATTTAAGCTAAGATATATCAAAAACGACTCACTCAAATATGATCAGTATATATATATTTGGAATCAGGAAGAAAAGATCTTTAATTTTATCGCATAATATACTGTCAAAAGAAAATATAGAAAAAAACTGTCAAGTTTTGTATTTAAATTTTTTTTCTATCTTAAATAGTAAAGGCTGTAGGTATGGTGCCAAATATAATCAAATACCCTGTACGCATTCCTCGTTTTGTAGGTGAGTAACTTAACTTAATTGAATTGGAAAGATTTGATTACTTTGGGCCTTTTGAGATTAATTCAGGAGCCTCACTAAATTATCATTGAATCATACCTACAATTAAATTTAAAAAAAAAAACAACTTGTCTCATTTTCAGCAGTTTCTTCCTTAATTTTCCTAGGTTAGTATAGGTACAATCCATGTATCCTTATATCATGAGTTAACTATCTCGATAGGCCAACTTCGTCTCAGAAGCTCGCTTTAGTCTAGCTGTACTTTAAAATTTGACTCTCTTAGTCTTTCGAAAACTAGCTTTAGGTTGTCCACATGTTCTTATAGTGAAGTCGAAAAAAACGATTATGTCGTCTAGGTACACTAGACATTTTACGTTTTGTATGCCTCTCAAGATTGAGCCCATGACTCTTTGGAACGTTGCGGGGGCGTTCTTAAGCCCGAACAGCATTCTCAAGAATTCATAGTGTCTATTCTCTGTATTGAATGCTGTTTTGGGGATGTCCTCTTCGCTCATTTCGATTTGGTGGAAGCCGGACGCCAAATCTGAGGTAGTAAAATATTGAACCTTGCCTAATTTGTCCAATAGGTCTGTGATATTAGGCAATGGAAATTTGACATCGATCGTCTCTTTATTCAATTTCCTGTGATCGATGACCACTCTCCATTTTTGTTGTCCTATGGCGTCTAGTTTTTTGGGTACCACCCAGATGGGACTTGACCACGAACTATTTGATGGTCTAATTATCCTTTGGTCAAGCATTATTTTAATTTGGTTTTCTACTTCTCCTCTGTGGATAAACGGGTACCTATAAGTTTTGCTGTAAATGGGAATTCCATCTGAAGTTCGAATATTGTGTTTTATCTTTGTTGTAAATGAGAGTGGTATATTTTCTTGGTAAAATACATCAGCGAATTCCTTGCAAAGGTGTCGAATTGTTTTGCGTTCTTCTAGGTTTAGGTGGTCTACGCGGATTTTCGAAAGGTCCAAGTCTAGAGGGGGCGAATCGTCAAAGTGGTTTAGGTCAATATTTTGAAGTTATTTGAGGCAGAATTTTTCTACCATTAGAGGTCCTGAAAAATCGAGTGTGATGGCATCGCATGAGTTAGGTATTTAAAATCGTTGTTAATGCTTGAGTTAGAAATTCGGGAATTTCACAACTGTGAAATTTTTGATGGGGAATTCACTATTATTAATAGAAGTCTTTACTTTTATTATTTGTTCACTTCGTGGTTTTATTGTGATACAATTGAGTTCAGTTTCGGTTTTATGAAATTTTAGTTTAAATTTTGCATGTGGGGTTATTAGAAATCGACATTTGCTTGGAGTCGTTTAGGGTTTTCTAGGCCTATTAGGCCGTCGAAAACGTTGTGGAATTTCAAGAGATAGAATTTCAAATTCTGACTCTCAGGCAAATTGCAAATTTTTGAAGTTGGTATCAACGCGCTAAATCTGTGAGCGGATTTTTGGAAAAATGTACTGACAATGAATGGGTCTTCTTGGATGCAATATGGAAATATTTTTGAGCCAAATCTGGGTTACGGAAAGATTTTGTAGAACCGGAGTCAATTAAAAGTTTTATGATATTTTCCGGAAATATCATAAATGATTAATTTGCTCGAATTTGCCATATTCAAGGAGTTGGCTACTCTGGACGCGTTATTTGAACGTTTACATCTTCCTCGGGTAGGTCAGTTCCATTAGTATTATCATAGGTCGGGATTGGTGCCAAAGATTCGTTGGTAAAGTTTGTTGGGTAATTATACTATTCGGAAGAAGGTTTTTCTTCAGTACTATCGTATTATAGAGTCTCTGCGTCATTGCACTTGTTCTCAAAATCACACTGGTATGATTGATCAGAAACGGGGGGTTCACTCATTTCAGCATTATATAATTTTTCGAAAGTATATTTCGGGTGGATTTGGCACGAGGTTGAAGGTTGGAATCTAAGAGTAGATGGCATAGTTTGGTTTTGTTTTGGCTTAAATCCAGAAGTAAAGACGCTCATTGGTTGCGGTGCTGATAGCGGCCAATTTCGATTAGGATTTGGTTAAAACACATTCGATTGGTTTGTTTTTCCAAACACTCTAGAGTTTATGGCAAAATTTTTAGGAGTATTATCGAAATTTGTACTTATACTGATAGGATGGGATGGAAATCTCGTATAGTTAGAATTTTGTTGAAACAGATTGTGTGGTGTCTGGGAATTGAAATTAGAATAATTAGTTTGGTTGGGTGAAATGTTGCGGCCATGGCAACGCCTTGAAACTGGTTTGCTGGGGTTGTTTAAAACCTTGGTTAGGCTAATAGGGTGCTGGTCTCGTTAAATTTTGGAAATAGTGGGTGTTTTTTTTTGCTGTATGACCATTTGGAGAGCTGCAGCTTAATTGGTGGGACGCATGCAGCGTATGATAGTGCCTAGGAGCTCTCGTAATCCGGAGAGCCAATTCGTTATATAAAGATTTTTTAAGAATTTTACCTATGGCGGTTTTTTCATAGATGTCAATGTGTGAGTAAAGCAGGTTTAAAATATGGAGAATTCTATCATAAAATTGGCTAGGCTGTTCATTTTGATTTTGCCTCAGCATGATCAAATCTCTATTGAGACATTCAGTCGTATGAATAAAGTGTAGCAAATGCTTTTACTCTACCTCCATCTTTTCTTGCTGCATTAAAGATGAATATGTTTATCTCAAAAAACTTAAGCAAAAGCATTTGCTTCTGTTTTATTAATATGAGCCAATATTCGTCTCTTTGGTCAACGAAATTGCGCCTTAATATATCCTTTAAATCGTCCCATGTAGAGACATTTTGGATATTTACAACAACCTTTGCTGTTCCTGTTAGTTTACTTATCAAGCTATTAATCAAGAAAATATTTTGAAATTTACTTGGATCACTATTATCGTGAAATTGCGCTATCACAAGTTGTCAAATAACAATTTAAGTCGTTAGGGTTTCCATCAATATCTGGAACAAACTTCAAATATTCTCGTTTGAAATCAGGCATGATGTTTGAATTTGAATTGAGAGCAGTTAATAGATTATTAGACAATTGATTATTATCAGTTGGTTCTGTATCAGAGCCAAAGTCAGTTGAAAGGCTTATAAATATATTACTTTGATTATATTTTGATTATTGATCATATCATCCAAATTCGGCATTAATCAAAGAAAAATTGCACACTTACATAACTAAGAAAATGTTGGCCATATCTTACTATGGGAAGAGCTACTCCAGAAAGGCGATGTGGTCCAGTCCAAAGTTGCTATGCCTGCGGAAATGCCCAATGTTGTGGCACTTCCCAAATAATCCGTAGATAGTATTTAGCGATTAAATACTTCCACAAATCATTTATTGTTCGTCAAAGTTCAGTTGCCCGGAGAATTCGATGTTCACTGGAATTAGACTCTGAGAATTTTTTTTTTGGACTAACGAACCGTTCGATTTGTCAATTAATCGTACAACAAAAAGACTTTCTTCGATAGATAAGCTTTTGACAAATCCTACCGACTGCGCCAGTTAACTATCTCGATGGGCCAACTTCGTTTTTTAAAAAAAAGTTCTTTGAGTTTAATAGAAAAGCACTTAAAAATCCTGACTAGCTTTAACAATGCAATTCTAATTATTTTATAAGATTAATTATGCAGGGTTAGCATGTCGACTCAGTTTGTTCAGGTGTTTGGTGGTGACATAACTCATGTTGCATTTTTGTTTTTTTATAAATATTATAATATATTATATAAGTAAAAATTTTAGTCGTTTAGTTGTCAATATCCCCTATATTTTCTAGGTATTTCTGTCCGCCGCAGTGGCATTTGCCTCAGCGACTTACTTGGGACCCATCCACATCCCAGTTATCGGCCCAAATGGTGTCCCCGTCGAACCCCACGAAGTCCAAGCTGCTAGAGCCAACCATTTGGCTGCCGTAGCCTCTGCCCATAAAGGTCCATATACTGCTTTCGGAGTACCATCATTAGGTAAATTGATTATTTAGTGGCTGTGTCAATATCTACCCTAATGTTCGTACGAATTTGAATTAGTGGCACGTACGGAAATATTAACAAAATCAAGCGATATTGTGAAAAGTTCAAAAGCATTAGGTAATATTCGTTCGATCAGTACTTAAAATACCCAATGTTGCCAAATTTTATAATTTTTCTGATATATACTTATGTTGCTGCAATGTTTTGTAACTGCCCTTTGGGTACGTACCTACACCATTTTACACTTTCTTCAAAAATACATCATGATTATATTGTTATCCATCAATAGAGATTAGGTATGATGCTCCAAAAGTAAAATTTTTTGAATCTGGCAACACTAGAATTATGTTAATAGTTTTTTGTATTACAACTGTAGTATAACATACCCGGGTTCGTTCAGTAAGATTGAACGATGAGAATTTTTATTACCTTTAAAGCAACAAATCTTCTGAAAAACGAAATGAAGAACAAATAGGACCTACGTTGTGGAAACTTACTCAATTTTACTTACTGGACATGCGCCCGACATAGCAAATATTTGGGAAATTTAAGGGAGGTTGTGATATGTAAAAGAAACGAAAAAATTTTGAAACGTCTACTTTATTATTAAAGTAAATCGTACCGTTCTCATCCTGGAACTAACGAGAGGAAAGAGCACGGCAGAGATATCCTCGATCTAACATTCCTCAAAAACCGAAACATACTGTGTCATTTTAATAATAATTGTGAGTTATTAATTCAATAATTTAAGTCAATGAAAGTTTAAATTAGATACTTCCTTGTTCTTGTGCTAAAATTTCAATTACACACACTACATTCAATCAACACTACCTTCAATCAATACTGAAGAGTTTTTTGTTAGTTAGCCCATCTGTGGCGGGTACTGAGGTCCCTGGTTACGGTAACTCACAGCTATAGTTGTTTTTGAGCCAATATCTCTAGATTGATTTTTCTCAATTTGCTAGGATATTCTCTCGTCAGGGTAGGAAAATGTTAGAAAATTCAACAAGGCCCTAATACATGCTCTGAATCCAAAAATCGAAATCCTAGCACAAAGAGACAGCACATAATATAATTTTCTTAGGTTCTAATTTACTTCTTTATCTGTGTTGTTTACAGTATGTAACGATTTTTGTTAAATACATGAACAATGCACATGTTATAAAAAATGTTATAAACAAACAAAAAATACATAAAAATGAACAAAATAATAGGAACTTGCATAAATTGAACTCTCAAAAACAAAATAGGTAACATTTAATCCACTAACCTGTGAACGCTCCTTACACACACACTAATAAATTGGACTGAACAATCAATTTTAATGCAAAATAGAAATGAAAATTGAATAATGAATAATTACAGACACGCCTCTAAAGGAACAGCCCCAGCTTGTTCTCAAGTCTAGTTGCGTCTTCTCTTGTATCCTCTTCGGTTTCGGTACCTTCGTTTTCTGTGGCGCGCTCGTTCAATCCTTAACTTGAGGGCGCATATATGGTTGCAACATTTACTTTTATTCAGTAATTTTTTTTTTTTTTCAATTCAAAAAAATTCATAATATTTTAAATAGGTGGTTTTCCTCACAACATTCAGAATTCAGAAATTAGGTTGCCAAATTTAATTATCATATCCTGGAAGAAGAAATCAGTTAAAGCCCGAAGGCTGAGACTCTATAACAAATAGAGACAATATCCTATCTCTATTGGCGTCCACTCCTTATTGATTTCGATAAGAGAGAGGACAGCAAGTGCGATAGCGAGGAAAATAGCGATTCATATCCGTTACAAAATCCCAGCCCTAGCAACTGATGCAAGCAAGAAGACAATAGATAATCGATCACCAGTGCAGAAATAAAAAGGGGAACAAACCAGTGTCAAAGGCCATGAAAGAGAGATATCAGAATGAGTCAAAATAAATTAAACAAACCATAGAAGCTAACAGTTTTACGTAGAAGTCTTGGAAGTGGTGAAAATGATAAATAAGTCAAGTACAATGATGAACAGGCAAAAAATACTGAAGGTTGTTGAGCTGCTGGCGTAGAAACGTGAAAATGAAGAAAATGCAATTATAAACCGTAAACCAAGGATCAGAGGAACTGCCATAAATTTCCCTAGAATAAGCCACCTGGAAAGTAGTTAGTGCCTGCTAACGGAATCAAGATCAGAGGTCCCTGTCTGCTCCGAAAGATAACGATTCAATTTAAAATTCAATCTACTAAGCGGTCTGAGAAACGGCACAATACCGGGCATATGGTACAACGCTACTGTGATACTGCTAAAAAAAGAAATATAACCAAATTGAAGAGGAAAACAAACTGGACTTCTATCAGCCGCTGAAACAGGCCGGCCTTTGCACTATATTTGGAACATGACCACCTTCTGACCATAAGAGAGTGGACTAAAAATGTCCATTGAGAACAATAGACCATTGGTCTTGGCCTGACTTTCGATGACTTCCATGCTTCTGATTCTCGAATCAAGGGAAATATGAGAAACCTGCCTGTCTTTGTCACTCATATTAGATTTTGCTTCCTCAAGAATGTCGCGCCGATTATCGATTCACAAGATTAGCACATAAAAACGCGACTGTTTGTAAAAATGTACGATACTACAGAACGTATGCGTATGCCCATTGGTTGGAGGATCAAGCCAGAGGACATAACTCCTAAACTCTTCACTGCAGTTCTGGGGTGCGCATTCAAGAAGCCTGGAAAGGAGAAGGCATAAGCCTAGACGGTCGGCTGACAAACCTGAGAAGAGAGAATTACAATGGTGGATAAATATATTTACCTGGGAGCGAACTTATGATCAGTAGACAAGGCGGCACTTGGAACAACCCCCACTCCTGCTCACTTCCTGACCAATCATGAATGTCTTCTCTCTCCTCGAGTAGGCTCCTCCCCCTGGATAATTAAGCATGACTCCTCCAGCAAACGCAGTTTTAGAAATTAAAGAATGAAGGCTTTTACGGCCGGTTAAATCTAATAAAAAAGTTTTTTCCGGGCTATAATGCCGTAGTCCATTGGTAAATCTACCTAGCGTTTCGTCTACTGCTGCGGTAGACATCTTCAAGGGCCCATTCTCTAGGCTCCCTTGCTTTTCTCCAAAGATGCAGAGACTCGAAAGTCGTTCCGAAATTCCTGAACATTCGAAGAATTTTTAATTCCTTCCAATCTTACAAAATTTTCGAACGAGCGGAACGAGACTTGCTTCGGGAACGGATTCACCAAACCAGGAAAGACCTAGCAGCTATGGACAAGGATTTTCTATCGATAAACCAAAGGTTTTCCAACAGCATGCACTGGAGTAACTGGGACAAAATTGACCGAATGACGTATGACGTGATGGAACCACAATAGCGAAAAGAACCAAGAAACTGGTAAACAAGTTTAAGTCCTTGAAACCATTGAACACTGTGAAACCCACAGGTAATGGACCTGACCCAACGCGTTCTGTCCGATTCGGAAACCAGTGTTCTAAGAAAAGGAGGCAATTTTGCAATAACACCGAAAGAACTGCCATTCGAAGACATCATAGCAAATGTGGAAGCCAACATACGCACATTACCTCAAACCACTGCGGAGGAAATACGCAATGAAACATCTAGGATTCTACGACTTGCGAAACCTCCAAAGTGCAACCTGACATACGAGAAAAGAAAAGCTATTTGCAGCCTGAATACAGACAAGAACATACTAGTCTTGCCTGCGGACAAGAGCCTGAATCATGAACGTGACTGACTATGAATCAAAAATTTTCGAACTGCTAGACCCCTCCACCTACAGAAAGCGGAAGCGCAATCCTACTGCTTCTATATTGCGAAAAACCAAACAACTCGTCCGAGTACTACCTTCCGCTGGACCCGGAAAACATAAGGAAACTCGTCAAATCTGAGGCCTTACCACCTAGAATATATGGGCTTCCTAAGATTTACAAAACAGGCAACCCACTCAGGCCCATTGTAAGTGCAATAGATTCGCCCACTTACAGCATAGCCAAATTCCTCATCACCCTTCTTCAGCCACGCATTGGCCAATCCAACTCTTATGTTAAAGACTCAACTTATTTCATCAAAAAGATCAGTGACATCACTCTACTACCAAACGATATTCTGGTTAGTTTTGATGTCGTCTCATTGTTTACTAAGGTACCAGTGAATCAGGCCTTAGAGTATCTGAAAGATGTTTTTACGGAGGAAATCAACAACCTATTTTACCACTGTCTGACGACTACGTACTTTCAATGGAAAAATGAATTCTTTGAGCAGAGAGGCGGAGTCGCAATGAGGAGTCCACTCAGCCCGATTATCGCCAACTTCTACAAGGAACACTTCGAACAAATGGCACTGCGAACGGCCACAAAGAAACCTACTTGTTGGTTTCAGTATGTAGATGACACATTTGTTGTTTGGAACCATGGAGAGGCAGAGCTCGAAAACTTCCTTAATCATCTAAACTCAATAGAACTCAGGATACAGTTTACGATGGAAATTGAGAAGAACAACAAAATTGCATTTCTCGACGACCTCTTAGAAAGATTACCCTTAGGTAAACTGAGACACAAAGTATATAGGAAGCCGACGCATACGGACAGATACCTCAACAAGGAATCCAATCACCATCCTAGGCAAAAGAGAGGAGTCATTAAAACTCTATCTGACAGGGCAATCCGGATTTGTGAACCCAGATACCTTCAGGACGAGATGCAACACCTAAAATCACCACTTGAAGCAAATGGGTACTCCAAGCAAGAACTATAAGACCGAAGCAACAGCGCACAAATAACAAGGAACCAGCACAGATGGCAGGGAGAGCCTTTCTCCCCTATATCAGAAATGTCACAGATCGCATAGGACGAACGCTAGAAAGACACAGCGTTAAGCCTATTTACAAGCCCACAAAAACAATTCAGCAAAGTCTAAGATCGGCCAAGGATTCTAGGGCACCTATTGAAACGGCTGTGGATCTGTCTATGTAGGAACAACCAAACGCTCTATCAACACCAGGGTCAAAGAGTACAAAATAAACTGTCAGCAGGGACAAATAGATACATCAGCAATCGCCGAACACGTGCTTACACACGCACAAACCATGTCATTCGTTTCGACCAGACTCAAGCATTGGATAGAACCAAACATTTTCACACCAGACTCCACAGAAAAGCCATAGAGATACAGAAACACCACAACAACTTCAACAGAAAAGAAGAGGGCATGAACCTCAACAAAAGCTGGTTGCCAGTTCTCCGAAAAACAAAGACCCTTCCTTTCCGAGAACGAGACAAGGAAAATAGCGTAATACAAGCCACGCCCACAACCCTGGATATAAATAGCGCAGGTCCAACAACGTCGAATCCAGTCATCGGAGGAACACGAAAGAGAATACTTCGTCCTCTAACACACCGCCTCTGAAGATGTCTATCGCAGCAATGGACGAAACGTTAGGTAGAAATACTAATGGACCACGGCATTATCTGGAAAAAACTTTTTTTCTAGTTTTAGAAATTGATCATACAGCAAAGTAAGAATAACCCCCTCGTGGTCATCTTTTGGAAAACTTCCAGAAGTGGTTAACAACAATCTGTCAATACCTATGTCTAAAAAGAAAGGCTTCAACGAGTCTGTATGACCGCTCATGTCCTATGGAGCTGAAACATAAACCTGTTAACGTGACATGCTGAAAAACGAAGCAGGGAAAGAACTGTAACTTATTGAACAGGTATAACATCATAAAAATGTAGCCCAAAACAGGAAACAGTGGGCAGAAGTAGGATAGGCCTATGTCCAGCGAATTAGCCTAGAGTTTCCACCATCATAAAAATACATCTTCTGGTTATTTTGACTTGGGAGGAAAATCCAATAATGTAAATGTTTAGTCTTGAACCAGACGATGTAACAACTAGATTATGTCAAAACCTGCAACAACATATATAAAATTTGAGGTGGAGAATATAGTTGTCTTACATTTTTTTTTTAGCTCATAACGCCCTTCCCTTGGACACCCCTGAAGTAGCCTCAGCCAAACTTCAACACTACCAAGACTTTGCTGTAGCCGCTCAACGCAATGGTGTACACGTGCCACTCATTTCTGCTACCACTCGATTGGCTGGACCGCTTCCTGTTGACACCCCCGAGGTACGTAATTTCAAAAATATTTGATTTTTATAATCGGAACTAATGGTCCTAGACAAAACTGTAAATGACCCCAAAGCCAAATTTTGACACAGGTAATTTTTTAATAAGCTTTTCAGGATATTATTAACTTGTTAGCTATTTTCACACGAATACCAGGTTTCAAGACTAAAATGTGAACCAAAAAACAAATAATTACTATCTTTTCATAAGAATATCTTTCATCTCCTGTTTTCCTTTTTAAAGAACAGTAATATCTGGGTAGATATTTTTTTTTAGCTCATTGCCCTCTCCTCTGGTCTCAATGTTAGTTAATTTATTTTTTTTCCAGTAATACATATTTTAATTTTTTTGATTACCTACGAGTTCTTTATTATTATCTGTATTCTATATCATTACTACCTGAACAGGTTTTTGAATTTGTGTTATACAAAACCAGTATCGATACTGGACAGATATATCAAAAAATTTGCAGAAAGATGTTCTATTTTTTTAAGTTGATTAGCCTACCCATCTTTGTAGGTATCTATTGAATCCGTTATTTGGGCAGCACACACTGAAAAATGTGCTTTCCTATTTTTTTGTGTTAACTGAACATCGTGATTGAGGTAAGACTACGCGAGAAGTTTTGGTTTGAAAATTGGGGGTGTTCATTAAAAACAAGAAAAATTTTCAATATTCTGAAACTTTTTCCACACATTCTGAAATATTAGGAAACTCGATTTTTCAATTCATAACCAAGGACCACACAATGAAGATAATTGCCCATTGACCAATGCACAGATATTGATACCAAGAACGTTATAATAAGTATTCTGGAGCAGCCAAATGTAGCTAGGTTCCTACTCTCGGATGAATTACTACAACATTCCAGAACAAATTGCTCAAATTAGTACCATTTTTATAGGTGCAACACGCCAAAGCAGCCCATTTCCATGCCTACGCCGAAGCTGCAGCTCGTGGAGGACCTTCTAGCTACCTGGGACATTATCGAAGACGTCGCGACATCTACGGTGGATATCATGTGCCTGTTATCGGCCACAATGGCGTCCCGGTAGATACTCCCGAAGTGCAAGCTGCCAGAGCCAATCATTTAGCCGCTTTGGCGCAGGCTAGTGCCAGGGCTGGACCAGCTTCCCATTACGAAAATATAGGTAAGCGTCGAAATCGAAATCATTGGTTCATGAAATGTTACTATATGTATATTCATTAGCCTAAGCCATATAGTCTAAGTATACCTGGAATGGTGCCGGCTTGGACGAAAAGTGAAGCAAAAGTTTCGCGTTTATCTTTTTCTTCTGTGACACTAGTATGAGACAGGTAGAAATCCTACGTCAGTTCTGTACATCAGTCTGTTTTTTGGCATACAGTTTTGGAAAAAAATAAAAATTTTGAATTTGATGCCTTCAAACCGCTATTCAACCAGATCCAATTTAGGAAATCAATATTACATTTAATGTATAGGACTTATTAGATTATCACTTACAATAGGTATTTATTGAATAAACGAACATAAAGGTTTAAGAAAAAAATCATGTGTCACGATGAATTTGCGGTCTTGAATGGTGGGAATACAAAAAGAAGTACGTAGGTACCTATCTAATTAAAATTTAGGTACTAAATTTCCGTTGGCGATGGTAGGTACCTAATAGTAGAAAGGATTTTCTATGGGTATTAATCAAAGGACATCACAGTCCCTGCAAGATTCCCTAGCCAGTCCTTTACGTGTTTCGTCCTTATTTGGACTCATCAGAAAGGACACAGGCTTATCGGCTCTCTGTTACGCAATATTGAACTTTCTCCACGAGATAAAAACAATTTTTTTATCCACGCTAGACAACCAAGTAAATAGGATAATAAATTGTACTGGACTTCTACACTATTAGATACCCATCCATAGGTTGAAGCTTAAGTAGAGGGATCAGTGGTCGTCAACTTAAAAAACTCATATCTATTATTTCATAACTCTACTCTCATGAAATGGTGATATGTTTACCTAAGCTAGATGATGAGATGATTACCGAATAATAGAAAACTTTGCCTTTTTAGTTGCCAATTGTACACAGGCGTAAAATTGAGCTTAAACAAACTTTTGAAAAACCTTTCTGAGAAAAATTTCAAATTTGTCTGGTTGCAGGTTCTCCATACGAAGCAGGGGCCTACGAACCATACCGTCGCTACTACGGGCCCCAAGCCACCATTGGACCCAACGGCCAGCCGTTAGAAACTCCTGAAGTCCAAGCTGCCAAAGCTTACCATCTGGCAGCCCATGCTGCTCTTAGATCAGGTGGACAAGCTGGGCACTATTATTAATTTTAGTTTTTGGAGGCAGTTGTTTCGGAACCATTAAAAATTCTTTTTGAGGCATTATATAGTTAATTTGTTACAAATGTTGTGAAATTGAAACAAATAGTTGTGTTTAACCAAGCAAAATCACTTTTAGTCGATTTGTTTGCAAGTCCATTGATCAAAGTAAAATAATATAAAACTGCAATGAGACTTATCCGAAATTGATTTCCTTTTTTTAGATAAGTTTTTAACATAGATTAAGTTTTTCTGTAATAAAATTGTAAACCCAACCAAGAAATATTTTCAAACTTGTGATTTCACGTTACCTACTTGAATAGCTACTATCTATCTATAATAGCTACTATCTGACTATATTTGTAAGTGTATATTATGTATAAACAAATTAATAGATAGACAACGTGCAATAAATGTACACTATAGGAATTATTGTTTTTTTTTTTAATTTAAAACACGCGGAACAATAAAAATTACTGACCAGAGCAGGCATCGCCATCTATTAGCCATTCGGCATACTACCTGACTTACCGAAAACAAACCTTAACATTTAACTCTAATATAGCTCAAACTATACCTACTAAATTTACTATTGTTCTTTAACAAAGTTTATGCATGAAAACCTTCCTGCAGTTGTTTCTCTCATTTGCAAATAGACCCCCCTCACACGGAAATAAAAACTATCAATGGAACCATTCTACCATTCATAGAGTACTTGGGCAGAATGCTACATTAGTGTCAGAGTCAGGTGTGGGGTTGATTATTATTCGTACATTGAGAGCAACTGTAATTTTATTAGTAAAAATTGAGAACAACCGAGCAACGTAAAAGACCTTCAACCCTCCGAGCCCGTTACCGCAAACCAGCACCACCATGCCACACCTTTTTGTAGGATTAGACTCTATACCTACTTATGACAGAACAACTAGTGCAGAAGAATTATCAAATATACTAGAGGAAACAAGTATTCTAACTGGACAGACATGCAGAAAATTTCGTTTACTCGATTAAGGCTAAGATATCGAGCCAAGCAGTTTATAGAAGCAGAGCCAACCAAAAAACACAACGAGCTGGACAATTTTCAAGGACAGTTTAAAGGATCAGTAGTTTGGCAGGCAGTATGTGAAAGACCGCTATGAAACATTTCATTGAATGCAAGGCAACAGACAGGTGGAGAATGTAGACAGCACAGTAGGTACCCAGTACCCGACTAGATTAACGGTATTGGGACAAAGGACAGCTACATTCACTGGAAATCCGACTACAAATAAATTATTGGGAGATAAGTTACTAAAAGACCACCACCTAAGGACTAATAATGCCTATAGAACAGCGAGTACCTACTCTCAGGAAACCCAGGAAATGTGGATGAACCGTTAGAAGTAGGGAAGAGAGGGAGGAATCAATCGGAAACTTTTTGACAAGTACCAAACAATCGAGATTGCCGTACGGTGATGAAACAGACGAAGAAAGCAGGGCCAAGGTCAGAACCCTTGGAATCATTAGTACCTACCTATACCAGAAAAATAATGTGCTACAAGTGTCGACATGAAGGTCACGTGAGACTAAATTGTCTGAAACTAAGGGACGTTAACAAGCAACGGAAAAAAGGTTGTTTTGGATGCCACAAGTAGGGACATTTTATTAGAAACTGCCGCGAGGCAGCCAATGCATTGCAGTCAGGAAATAGCCAGACTTTAAACTTCAACGTAGCTACCTTTCAACTCCGAGTCTTGGCTCCAAGGTGAGAACCCCAGAAAATTGTGATGTAGCAATAGGACTAGGGTTAACGATAACTCGTACCTAGCCTTAATAGATTGTGGAGCTGTCCCTAGTTAAGCCAGAGATTGCCAAAAGGTTCAAAAAGGTCCATTGGAAGCTATGGCAAATATACCTATGATCTTTGAAGGAAGTAAATTGGCAAATAATTGTATGTTCGTTTTTGAAAAGGAAATTCCGTTGTATGATGAAGACAATGATACGGATTATGCGATATAGAAAGTAGAAAAAGAGTTCATGACATAATTTGGGAAGCGACCTGTGTTTGTTTGTATCCCATTTTTCAAACGGTTATTGCTCGAAATGCATTGTATCAATAAAAATATTTAATAGAACCTTTTTTGTAGAAAATTTTATAAGGAATATTTTTAGTTGGTATAATGTCTTTTGTGCGACCAACGGTTTCTGAGGAAAACGAGAAAAACCATCGCAGTGCGTCTTGGGGGAGGTTTTTGGGGGTGAAGCTCACACTTCAAACTCAAGAACTCTTTTGATTTTGAAAAGTCTCCTTTTGATGCGTCTAATCTGAACATATCAAACCTTTCAATTTTTTTTTTCTATTCGGCTATTCTAGGTCCAATATAAATCGTCGTTAATTTGACAAAGGGACGTATATGAGAAATAGACGATTTTTCATTTTCAGGGAATTTATGTCGCAAAATATCAAATTTAAACGCCCTCTAATTGGCGCATATGAACTGCCAGTAGTTTCTGAGTTATACACATTTTTCTTTAAGACGCATGTTTTGAAACAAGAAATATGCATCTTCCTAAAAGGCGTATATCATATACGCTTTTAAAATTTAAGAAATTCAATATACGCCCATTAGTGAAATTAACGACGAAATATACTACTACCCCATATTGTCCCGACTAGCGGCTAAACACAATTCCTGCGTCTTCGGCCCAGTTTGAAACTCTTTCAAATTGGTCTTATGTTCATCCTAGTATCGGAAACCGTCTTACTTCTGGAAATTCCAAAAAGTTAACTTATATTTACTAACACCTGAAGATTAAAGATAGCAATAAAACTGACTATCAAAACTGTCTCTTCTTTTATTTATTTTGTATCCATTATTAATACTCGTTCCTTTCCTAATAGGTACTCAGAATAATGTTTTTCAGTTTTTCTAATGCTATTTACTTGTGATAATAAGTATTAATTGTTCATTTGATTTATTTTTACAGTTGTATATTTTGTATGCAAATTTGAAAAAGTTTTTTTTTTGATGTATTTTTATTATATGAATAAGGGCCGGTTTATTAATCTTCTGATAAACTGTCAGGTATGCAATCTGATGGATAAAAACGCATTCTGTAATCCCATGGGTCGGTTAGTTATCCGCTGACCAATAGAATTAAAGAACAGTCAATTTTTCTTGCAGATAGTTATACCAGCAAGTTTATCAGAAGATGAATAAACCAGGTCTAAATATATATTTAACAAAAAATCAGCTTGTAAAACATATGATTAAATTTCTACATTTTGTGGTGTACAAAATGTAGAAAATAAGTTGGTGTATGAAATACATATTCTACGTGTAGAATATGTATAATTTTCTACCTACCCATCCCTGATCGTATGATTTAAGATTTTGCTATTAGACCCTAAAGGGAAAGAAACGAGCTATCCAACGATGTGCAACACAAGGTAGGTTCGCATTAAAAAAAATAAGTTAGGGTTAATAGCCCCTAAGGAGTGAGGCGGGGTGGCTAAAAAAGTGCTTCATTTTAGTTCCCCCTCAAATCCCCCGAGGAGTATTTGAGATCTTCCTGATAGTATTTTTTGTCTAAGAGATATTTCCAATTGTTACTTTTCAAATTGCCACCCTGTATATACCATATTACGTTAAGCTCCTGTAATGGGGTTTTATCTGTTGGAAATAAACAAGTATTTATTTATTTATTCAACTATTTTTATTTCATAAACGGAAAATGTATATGAACAAGAAAATGTACCTATACAAAAAAACAAAAGATTTGTAAAAAACGAAAGGTACGCAATAACGGAACAATACTTCGCAGTCAAACAGAAAACACTTTGTATCGATTCAACATGGCTTATAGGACTTAGCAGAAAAGAAAAAAATTACATTTTGAACACTGGTGAAATAAGTTTCATGAAACTCTTTGCAAGAAACAGGTCTCTGTGACACAAAACTTTTTTGATTGACGTTTAATGGAAGAGGTAATCATGTTCAGGGTTATTCCGGCCGATATGTAGAACTGTGCAACTGTGCACTTGAGGTCATTAATGGGATTTTCCAAGACATTGGATCTTTGCTGGTGTACAGGTCTTCCTGGAGGTCTGCAAACTGTAGTAGTGGATTTCAGGATAGACTTGTGTTATGTGCAAACGATTCATGTTTGGTCTTGTTCACCCCTGACAATTAGATCATTCTCATCATCCGCCTTTGTCGACATATTGAGTCTGGTCAGGAGGTTGGCAAAAGTAGATTTTTTTTTGTAGGTTTGTACCTTTTAGGACTAAACTTAGCAATAAACCTAGTCTCTTCAAGAGACTTATTTAAATACTTCTTTATTGTGTTAAGTTATTATAAGTGCAGATAGATGCGCAAAACGTTATTGAGGAAAAATTAAGGTTTTTATCACAAACAAATCCTATAACTCACATTACATTAATACAATTATTGTAAGTGCGACAGAACAAAATAAACATAATTAACTTAATTTGGTTACTAGATACGAAAATATGTTTACAACAAAGAAAAAGTAATTCAAAATAAGAACATAAATACCTAATGTAGTTTGGCAGTTATTTTTTTTGTTTAGTTTTTTTTGTTGCTCAACTTTTTGGCCAAACGATATTCTAAACTTATTTCATCATCATCATCCATACAAAGATTTTCTTTATCCTTATTATTGATTACTAAGGATGAATTAACTGCATCCTCGTCAGATGAGGAAGAAGACACAATCGGTTTTTCATTCGTAGAATCCAGCTTTGATTTTCGTGCTCTTACTGGTTTAAATGTCTTACTCTCAGATATTTTCTAAAGCAAAAAATTGTTGCATTAATTTTGATAATAAATATAAAATATACAAAATCAAAAAAAAAAAATGAAAATTAAAAATACTAACATCAACAGCAGAATTGGGTGGAACACTAGTGCCTGGGACATTCGATAAACTTTGAGCTTTTCTTTTCAAATGCCGTCTTGAAAACAAACGATATTTCAAGCACAAAGTATCTTGTTCTTCTTCATTTAAAGATTTTTCATGTTGTGTGAGTTTGTTTTTAGCGGTTTTAGTTAAAAGTTTTTCTGGATCTGTCATCAGTCGTTGTATTCGTTGTTGTTCCCTTGCTGACCTTATTGTTTCTTTATCAATTATTTTCAGGTTGTCAGGCTCGGATGGAGCTTGTTTAGGAATTTCTTTGAGAATTTTCGATGACAACGTATCAGTTGAAGATTCACCCTATAGTAAAAAAGATAAATTAAAAAAAAATCAAAAAAAATAGGCACACGAAAAAAAAAAAAAATAAATACTTACGAGATCATGTAATTTACATAGGAATTTTAATAATCTGTCATATCTTATGTTGCCCTCCGAATGACTGGAACAAAATGAATTTGTGCATTTTTCACAGCATCTTGCCGCTCTATGTGAACAAATGTTGCAGTAATGGCGAGGACACGTGAATTTGGAGGCTGAAAATAATTTATAATAAAAAAAGGAACTGTCTAGAGTCCCGAACACGGGATCGCTAGAAAAACGGAAAATCCCGAAAAGGCGTTGCTTGATAACTGCGTTCGGGACTTTTCAAAAATAATTCTAATCCCGACTTCGGGACCTTGGTAACAAAAGTAAACTCCCGAATTTATTATAATTGTTTATGTAATATTTGTTTATCCTCCTATACACCTAGGTTAAATTAGCCAACTGGCAACTGCTGTGTGTTTTGGGCAGTTTTGGCTGCCAATTTGTATTCTTTATTATGGGGTTAAATACAAATCACACATTTGGCTCATAGTTATATAAAGAATTATTACAAAATGCTATTGATTTATATGAGAAAGAATATAGGGTGTAATTTTTGAAACGGGATGCAAAAACTATCACATTCGCGAAGCATCATGCACCTAATTTTAATTTATACATCGTTGTTGATAGTAGGTACCCCTAGGGTGACTTATGAGATTCAGGAATATGATGAACAAGATCAGCAGTTGGAAAATTCTGAAATAATAATTACTAATACTCCTGTTGAAACTTATGAGGCACCAAGCAGCAGCAGCAAGGATAAACAAGATTAACAATTAAAAAGCGAAGGAGAAATAGGACAGAAATACATACCGACCGGTAAGAGCAAAAGCCTCTGAAATAACTATTTTTTGGTATATATTTGCAATTTAATGAAAACAAATTTCAGAACCCTGTTAAAAGTCGACGCAGACCTAGAGGCAAGAATTTAACGGCAATAGGCCTGCCAGCTAACAAGCAAAAGAAAATATCTACAAATGACAAACTGAGATGTCAAAGTTTCTTTTCCATTGTGTTAACCTACTAGAAATACACGATATTTGTTTTTTGTTTTTCTATTAATTGTCTGATGAAATTATAAGTCGGGAATTTACTTCTGTAACAACAGTCCCGAGGTCGGGATTCAAATAATGTTTGGAAAGTCTGGAACGCCGTTATTAAGCCACGCCTCTTCGGGATTTTGCCTTTTTTCAGCGATCCCGCGTTCGGGACTCTAGACAGTTCCATAAAATAATATATATATGCGCTTCTTTTTTTTAGTTCCTTACCATCTGTCAACGTCGAGTTCAGGCAATTCAAATGATAGCCTTTACTGCAAGTTTTGTTATTACACGTTATATCCGAGTTCAATTCGCCACATTTGAAGCAAGGTGGTACTGGTAGGCTATCTGGTTTTTTACTGCTTTTCCGGTACTTCCGTGGTTCAGTGGAAATTGCGGTGATATTTTCTTGTTTGTTTTTCACACCTAAGGAAACATGACAATATGAAACGTTTTGATCTAAACTAGTGGAACTTCAAGGCCAGGATGAATAAATTCCGCAATTTTTAATTTATATTATGTTATTCCTTATCCTTGAAACGATAGTGCTAATTATTGAAATGAACTATCGCCAATTAATCGGAAACCTAATGTTAGCTAATTAACAGCAAGTAACATCGGTAGAATTGAAACACAACATTGTTGCGAGACCTTCGACCATTGAACACTCTCTCTCCCTAGACTAATAACGATAATAATGTGCTATAGAATTTGTTTGATTCCAGAATGAGACCAGGCCCTCTTTCTCGCACTTATGAAAATAGAATGTTTATAAACCAGTCTGTTTATGTTTTGGGTATCAGAGAGCTGCGTTCGAAAACCTGGTTGTTGGTGTGAAAATTCTTTCAGGGAGTGCATCTTCAAAATGTGAGCTTAAATTTCACTCTAGAGTATTCGGTGCGCACATCAATACGTGTCAAACACCCTTCCGAACGCCGAAAACCATATGATTTTAATCCACACTTCGCCTTTCCGAACGGCAGCTGTGTGATTTTTATACGACACACCAGGTTCTCGAACGCAGTCAGCTGATTTCTCACAAGAAAGTTGAGAACACCATGAGAACACAAAACAATTACTACGTTATTGCCAGACTGTAAAATCTTTCTTTAGAAGTAGGTACGCAGTTCCATTTAAAACCAAATTGAGTCGTGATAAAAGGTATTGTTGTTTTAGAATTATTTTAAGTATAGACTTAAAAAGTCGCAAGTATATTTTTAATATTAATTTAAGCAGACAAATTTGAAATAGATACTTTTCGATAGATGACGATATTCATTATTATCGAGATTATTATTCGAACAGGAAAAAATTCGGCAACAGGGCCTTTTTTCGTTTTGTTTATCGGATGAATCACCCCTCTGACCCCGCTACCTCATTATGGAACAAAACAAATATGCTTGTTGATCCCTCTAGCAGTTTAAAGCTCGATGTGCGAGACATTATCAAGTTCAGGATATCATATTTGTTAATGTTTCTGTAATTTTAAAACAAGAAACAGCACATATATTTATCTGAACTAATTTGTTTGCATGGCAAAGCAAATACCACTGGTAGTCTTTATGTGGTTTCATTTGGGTTTGCAAGAACTTTATCTATTTGATACTTTAAGTGTAGCCTGTTGGAAAAATTGTGTACCTTTTCTATTAAATTGTTTGTATACGCATCTATTTATTATTAACTAACTAGTTTGTGAAATAGTTTATTTTTAGAAAAAATGTGTATCTTTCTTCAATCGTTTGTATGTATCCATTTTTTATTAATTGACTAATTTGTGTAATTATTTATCTTCAGGGAATACCAGTTTCTACTGTATAAGTTTCCTTTTGGAATGAATTTTAATATAGTTGCTCCAATAAATTTGATTTGATTTGATCCTGGTATTATGGAGAAGATTTGGCTATTATGGAGGTGATTATGAATGCCGCGAGCAGATGATATTCTTCTCCCAACACCGAGCTACGAAAATCAATCAAAAACTGAATTTACTACAAGTTTAAAATCCCCCCCCCCCCCCCCCCTCCTCAGAATCGAGAAATATAGAAAAATTTAAATTTAGTTTTTTTTTAAATCTAATTGGACTGTAATTCTCATTAGTTAGACATAGGTAGTTAGTTGTAAAGCTTTGTCAAAGAATACCATATATAAGGCATGTTTTGATTGATTCAAAGTGTCTTATTTTTATAAGAAATAAAGAAGTTTCTATTGAACAGACCTGAACAGGATAGAGTTTTCGTTAAATGAATTCTTTTATTTATTTTTATTTTGTGTGACAAGTGACAACCATTGGATTTTAATGAGATTTCTATTTCTTCATAATTTAACTATTCATTGTCTTTGCAGTTTTGTAGGTTCACTACTTAATCAATTTCTTTCTATATTGCGTGAACGGGGGTGATTCTATTGCTCCTGTTGTTTTGAATGCAAAGTTAAAAAGTACCTTATGTTATATGAATTTCACGACTACACTCTCTCTTAGATCTTCAATGTAGAAACGGGAGAGAAATGAAACTTTCCTATTTTGAGAATCAGAAAACTCCAAAACCTCCTGTTCAAAAAGTTTTGATGAACAAACCACAATCATCCATAAAATGCTTTTCTTGCGGAAAAATTGGCCACACAGCCAATCAATGTACAAAACAAGCTTCCAGTCGTTCAAACTTCACTCAATACCCAAATCCAAATTTCCAAAAAACACAACAGCTAAGTACTCAGGCACCGCAAACCAACAACCAATGTTCTGCAAAATAGAACTCAAAATGCATCTACTTCGAAACAATTCGTACCAAGATACGCTTCAACTACCCCTCAAAGAAACCCCAATTTTTACCCTAACCAGCAGAAAACTTATCTTTTAAATGATTTCTCTAATGAAACATATGCCAACGAATTTGAGTACGCTGAAAGCCCTCATTATGCACCAGATGCTAGTTATGAATAAAACGAATATGCTGAACAGTTCACTACTGATCCGAACGCTGAAAATTATCAGGATTTTCTAGTACCTTTTACCAATCACCATCCGCCAGAGAATACCCCTTAAGATCACACTTGGAATATTGAGACTCAAATACAACTTCTGAATCTAGACAACATGAATCCGAAGCTCAATTTTCCGAAACAAGCATTTCTTTAAACCGACTTCTTACTGTTAATTCGAAAAATCTGTACTACATTTATGATGCTTCCAATAAATTCATATTACTTATTGATACAGGTGCAGGTATTTCAATTTTTAAAGGAAATACTGTCCATAAATTCCCCTATCGTTTTGAAGAAAACGTAACCATTCAAGGTATCACCGATCTGTGAACACTTGTACTGTTCACCCTCCAAGATCCTCACAAAGTGTATATTAATTTACAGCTTGAATATTGATTTCGATGGAATTTTAGGGTTGGATTTCCTAGAACATTATCAATGTGTGATAGATTTAAAAGCTAAAGAACTTGTAACTGATTTCAAAACTATCCCTCTTCATAAAGTTACTGAAGGTCACTACCCTAATAATGCAAAACCAAAGAACACTCAAACAATTCTTAACAAAATATCTATAGAAGCTAGAAGTGAAAAGATCTTTAAACTCAAGTGTAATCTATCCAACACAGATGCTTTACTCTTTTCTCAAGAAAAAGAAAAAGTCAAAATACCTAATGCTTTAGTAAAAGTCAATGAACAAGGTGAATTTTTAACCTCAATTGTAAATATTAACGCCATGGACAAAACCGTAGAGTTTTCGAACTTGTCTATCGAACCATTTGTCTCAGAAAGTGAAACTCAAAAAACCATTCTAAGTTTTAATAACTCTAATCTCGACTATGACGATACTTATGATAGGCAAATCTCCATACAAAATGAACTTGGCACAGAACTTTTAAACGACGAAGAAAAAGAACTAATTATCAACTTATGCCTGCACTTTTCCGACATTTTCTACCTGAAAGGTGACAGGCTCACATTTAATAGTGAGATTAAACACCCTATTGACACCAATAATGCAAAGCTTGTGTATACCAAATCTTACAGGTACCCCCAAATCCACAAAGAAGAAGTCAAATCCCAAGTAACCAAAATGCTAGACCAAGGCATAATTCGCCATTCTGTATCTCCACGGTATTTTCCCGTCTGGGTCGTTCCTAAGAAACTTGATGCTTCTGGCAAACCCAAACGGCGCACGTAATCGACTACCGTAAAGTCAACGAACTTACTATAGACGACAAATACCCGCTGCCTGATATTTTTGATCTTCTGGATCAATTGAGAAAATGTCAATATTTTACCACCCTTGACCTAGCCTCAGGTTTTTACCAAATAGAAGTAGACCCCAAGGATGTTTCGAAAACCGCTTTTTCCGTAGAAAATGGCCATTACGAATTCGTATGTATGCTATTTGGATCGAAACATGCCCCGTCAACATTCCAAAGAGTCATGGACAATATTCTCCTCAGCATTCGAAATGAAATATGCTTAGTCTACATGGACGATATTATCGTTTACTCTCCTACCATCCACGAACATATTTCAAGCTAACCGAAGTATTTAAACGTCTCCGTAAAGCTAACTTAAAAATCCATCCGGACAAATGTGAGTTTCTTCGAAAAGAAGTAGTTTACCTGGGACACCTTATCACTCAAGACAGTGTAAAACCGAACCCTGCAAAAATAGGTTGTATTCAGAACTTCCCCACACCCAAAAATCCAGAAGACATTAAATCCTTATCCTAGGATTAGCAGGATCTTATCGTCGATTTATCCCCAATTTTGCTAAAACATCAAAACCCTTAACAAAACTCCTCCAGAAAGATGTTCTATTCCACTTTAACCCAGAATGCGTATCCGCATTCAACGAATTGTAAAACGCACTAGTTTCTGACCCGATTCTGATCAATCCCAATTTCGAAGACGCATTTCTATTAATCACGGACGCAAGCGCTTTTGCCGTCGGTGCAGTTTTGTCACAAGGCCCTATAGGCAAAGATCTCCCTATAGTCTATACCTCTCGAACGCTGTGCAATGCTGAAACTAAATACTCTACCATAGAGAGAGATTTACTGGCCATTGTATGGGTAGTTAAACATTTTAGACCTTATCTCTTTGGTCGAAAATGTGTCCGTATCACAGACCATCGCCCTTTAAGGGGCCACAACACGTGAAGGATTGTAAGCGTTTCGTAAAAACCAAACTACAAAAAAACTGCTCCAGATATCGAGATGAACTAATTAAATTTATATAAACGAAGGATTATTCAACCAGCCTACAAAAGCGTTTTTTTGATATATTAAATATTTATTGTAGAAAAATATTGCTGAAGATCGCCTTTTTTTGCTCTTTTTTGAACGCATATATGAGCGATAGATTTTTTTTTTTTTTAGAAAAATCGCTCTGTAGGCTGGTAGGTTGAACCCTTGTAAGTTTTTGTTCCAAAAATGAAGTCTGTTATTGCTTTATTGACGCCGTAGTTTGGTTTTTCGTGAGCACTGATTTGATGCATTTTTGACTAAAATTATTTAATGCAGCGTTAAAACGATTTATTTTAGTGTAGTTTTGTGTTTCATTAAGCTTTTTAATGCATGTCGCAATTGTCTAGCCTTTCTTGAACTTTCGTCTCGCGGTCTGTGACTAAATAGCTTTTTGCCAGTAGTGGAGCCTTAACTTGGCTTTTCTCAATTAAAGACCCTGAAAAGCGCTTGAAACTCGAAGAATACGACTATCAAATCGAGTATAAACCTGGGAAAATCAATAGGAACCCTGATGCCCTATCTTGAATAAAAGTAAACCACTTTAAAGATTGTTCAGATTTAAGCTCCAAAATTCACATACTCGTTTTAAACAAAGAAGAACCTGATATTGACGATATATAAGAAACCGCCCCTCTAAAAGTCAACAACAATAAGAAATTCCAATCGTCGAAATTGAAAACAATAATGAAACAACCCTAATTTAGGAAGAATACAACTCCTTCGTACGTCTCTACAAAACCAGATCAATTATTAATACTCAAAGATAGAAATTTCCAACCTACAACTTCTGGACAAGCCTCACAAAAATATTGTAACATTTTTTTGGCAAACCAAACTAACAGACATTACAAAATTATAGATGATCTATTCAAGAAAAAATTCGATTTATCAACCTAATCAGGTTAACATTTTATCCAGAAAATATGTGAAGGCACGCAAATACTTTATAATTCCCATTTCTTGCAAAAATGAGAAAATAGTCCCTACTCTTTTTTACTCGCTTTTCAAGTGTCTAAAACGAATTTGACTCTGAAAAAACCTTTTGCATAGAAAACAATCTAGAATTACCTATTCTTGAAATATTTTCCTTTATATTTGCCGAAAAAGATATTAAGCTTAAGATATGCCAAAATATCGTGAAAACCCCAGATCAGGACGAAATCCCAATTATCCTGGACTAATATCATACTGGAAAAACAAATTTACATCGTCGAATCAATGAAACCGTTAGAAGAATTAAAGACAAATACTCCTGGCAAGGTTTAACCAAAGATGTTGAGAAATTCATCAGAGCCTGTGAAATCTGCCAAAAGGTCAAAATCTGTAGGAGAAATCTTAGTTCTCCTCTCGTTATCACTGAAACTCCCGAAACTCTATTTGAAAGGATAAACATTGACGTTTTTGAATTCCCAGTTCGTAACTACGCCCTAACAGTTAGGGATGAACTTATCAAATTCACTCAAGCTTACCCAATCTCAGACAAAAAGGCGTCCACAATTGTTAACACCCTACTAGTATTCTTCCAACATTACGTACACATTTAGGAATTTACTGTGATTGTGGAGGTGAATTCAACAACGCCTTACTCAAAGACCTCTGTCGACGACATAAAATTGACATTTTCAAGCGTAAGCCACCCACAATCCAACAGATCGCTGGAAAGATTCCATGCAACTTTAATGGAGATGATCCGTGTTCATAAAGCGGAACATCCAGATGAACAACCATTCAAAATTCTCCCGTACGCAGTTATCTGTTATAATAATACCAAAAATGAGACACACGGATTCACACGTCTCGAATTAATTTTTGGCCATACGTCGAATAGACCCCCCTGAGACTCTTTATAATCAAAAGTGTCTTCAAGAGTTTTTGAGATAACACATATAGGTGTTGAGGAGACCTATTATGGCGTTGACGAGTTCTTCTAATTCCAGTTTTTGAAATTGATTCAAAGGATGATTTAGGCTCTTATATTTTAATGGATATTTTGTAAGTTGAGGATTTTGATATAGAATCAACTACTTTATTGTTTTGATATAGCCTGGAAGTTTTCTAGATTTTTTATTTGATTAGGGCTCTGTAAATGACATTCCGTCTTTGTACAATAAAGCATTTATGATTTGATTCGATGCAGTCTAAACGGTCATCATATTAAAGTACGCCTGAACAAGTAAAACCTTTATTGCTATTTCAATTGACCACATCATGTGTGTCCTTTTATCATACCGATACGATTTTCACTTAGGTACATCTTGAGTTTAAACATAATTATTATTGTGGATTATCTTTTTCGAACAAATAGATATGAATTCCGAAGCAGTTGGTTTTATTTACTTGATGCCTCAAACCCGACGGTTTTCCAAGTCTAGAAGCTGCAGTTGTGCATCCTCATCCTAATTTTTTTCACCGGACGCAAAGCCTATAATTTGCGCCTTATTAGAAAATTAGGAACACTAACAACGACATTAACTTTGAAAGATTCTTCTAAATTTACCATTAAACAGACTTGAGTGTGATTGGGAGTCATGAATTCTTATTATGTATATCTGGTTCTTACCAATAAATCCGGTACAACTTGAAGCACCACACTTGCACACCTTTTTGTCTTGTGCCACCCAATTATAGTTGAACGTCAACTCAGCTTCACTTTCTATATCGCACTTAGCAAAAAGGCCCACTCGAGTCTCCCCCTAAATTTGGGATAATTTTTGTTACATATTATGAATGACAACAACTACAACAACAACACATTTCCAACGTGATTTTTCGATACAATCTAATCGGACTAGAGATAAGAAAATTTATGCATAAACAATAGAGATGAGTTTATGTGGATACTAAACATGTAGTTACAAGGAGAAGGTTCATTGGGAAAGTCCGTTTCAAAAAGCAGAAAAATCCAATAAACTTGACTTATGTCTTGGTGGATTGGAATAAAGTTGAATCGAAAAAACCTGTTGTTAAAGTAGGTGTCAAAAGATTCTTACATTAACGGTCCATTTTTGAGTGATGCAATTGGGATCACAACAATGATTCATGAATCTGGATAGATTGCCTTTGGGACCTGCGTCAATCATACTATCTGCGTCTAAAAACATAAAGTAGTAGTTTTCTTCCTTTTTTTCAACCATGTTTTTCATTCTTCGTTGATATTCCTCTGTACTGATGATTTCTCCAACATACTCAATAACGAATTGACCTTTCTTGATTGGTTCTAGAGTTTTTAAGCCCCAACCAAGCCCTAAAAAAAATATTTCATGAAATTTTTGGATAATGGGTACCTAGTGATAACTTACCCCGAGTTTTAAAGGGAACCATAGATGGATATTCTCGTCTTTGGAAAGATTTGTTTTCACATTTTACTCCTGCTTGGCACATGCGAGGGTTGCATTCTGTCAATAAATGTCTGAAAAATATGATGTTGTAAGTATAAAACTCAGGCAAGTTTATTTAACTTTCTAACTAACCTATTAATGCAATTGCTATCAGGCCCACAAGGATGTGGTTTACTAGGGTCACAATCACATGGCGTGCTATTGCTTAGATCAAGCTCTGGATCCCTGGCATTTCCAACCCGTTTGTTTTTATTTATTTTACAGTATGTTGGAGGTTTGTCTGTACGAATCAATTCGGCTTCTCGTCTCACTTTGAAATCTTGTTTAAGCATATAAGCTGTAGTTGCATCTTCTATTGCTTTCTCGTAATATTCGTTTACTTTATTTTTTGAGCTGGTTGTTTCTCTGCAACTGCCAGCAGCATCGCCTTCTGCGAATAAAAACGCTCTCGCCTTATTCATGGGATAATATTTGTTGGTACCAAAAAATCGGACTACAAAATCGCCCCTATGGAGCTTTTTTGATAAATTTTGCGGAATTTCGTTAGGGAATATTATGGTGGCGGGCCACCAACGGAATTGGTGTAATTTCACCCAAACAATTTCATCGTACAGGGGAAATCTACCAGACTCGCAATCTTCACAAATGTACTAAAAAAAAATTTTTCATAATTTAATATTTTTCTATAAGGATGTAATTCTTACTCTGCCATCATGAGTATATATGATTGGTTGACAATCGGTATGATGAACACTAGTAGGGCAAGTTTCGCAACAAACCAAGTTTCCACCTTTGGAACATATAAAGCACCAATATGTGTTGATTGGTTCAATAGGTGGCTCTCTGTGTCTTGGACAAATTATTTGAGAACCACCTAGTACTTCAGAACCAGCTGGAATACAATATATAGAAGTGTGAAAAGCGGCTGGACATAGGAGACATCTTGCCAATTTATCCATGGGGACCCTTGGATAAGGACTAAAAAATAAATAAAGGAAATGGGTATTTTTGTTAATTCAAAAATTATAGTCACAGTTGAAATTTTAGGCACTATTTCAAAAACTTTTGAAATCTCAATAAGAAACGATAGTTTATTTTATTTGCAATTTTATTCATGGACACGTTTCTATCTTTTAGATCTCATCGATGTGACTAGGGTAGTGAAGAAAAGAAAATCAAATTAGTGACTAATAGCAAATGAAAAATTCTAAAAATATGTCAGACAATTTTTGAATATCTGCCAGGCGCACGTTATACAGGGTGACTGGTAAGTGGATGTATTCCTTCGAGGAGGTGAGAGTAGAGCCCATTTGCTACCGATTAAACATCATTTACCTCTATACCATTCTCAACGGTTTTGGAGATATTTTTTATTTTTATTTTTAAGAAATTCACTTTTTTGGGAGGTAAATATTTAAAATTAACGAAATAATAAGGAACATACCTCATTTGGCTAAATGTTAACACCAATATTTGACAACATTTCTATTGTAACACTTGGTATTGAAAACAAATCAAGTAATTTTTTCTTCATATTGGTTATCTTACAAATAAAACTTATTTATTTAATAATAAAACAAAAGACTAATTCTGAAATAATGTGCCTTATTCTGAAGACAATAATATCGAGAACTTTTATTAATAATTTGTACGTTTGATGTACTATGAAATTTTCGAAATTTTTAAGCATAAAGTAACCATTAGTTTAAAACTTGAAAAGAAAAGTTAAGTTTAAACCGAAATAATTTAATAATTAATATTATTGTTTCGATAATTTTCAATGCTGATATTTGTGTGCGTCAGCTTATAATTTAACAAGCGACATTTAAAATGGCTTTTATTATTTTTCTTAATTTTAAATATTTACCGCGCAAAGAAGCGAGTTTCTTGGAAATTAAAAAAGAATAAATATCTTAAAAGCTGTTGATAATGGTAAATGTGTTTAATCGGTAGCAAATGGGCTCTACTTTCACCTCATCAAAGGAATATGTCTACTTACCAGTCACCCGGTATATAATAATTTAATTAAAAAAGAATATAAAATTTATTCTAAAATGTTCAAGTAACCATTTCAAAAACCGAAGAATACTTTCTAGTTGAATTGAAAAAAAAAACATATTTCAAAAAAAGTTCAATGTTTGAAGTTGAATTTTTAATTCAGATCAAGTTTTTACCTAGGAGATCCAACATTTCCCAGTTCTTCAGCATAACAGGTGTGGCAAGTATGAACTGGACAACAAAACAAATCTTCTGGTTGTTTAGATTTAGACCATTTTACTCCAGGCCACAGAGTTTGAGGCCAATTGTTCAGACACGAGTCATGATAGTATAAATAGCAACGTGATTGGCAGCATTTTTGGCGAACTGTCTCACCTTTATCGGTCATCTAGACAAACAAAATAATAAGTAGTTAAGAAATATTTCAAAAAATTATTTTCTACTAGAATATTATATATGCAGGATGTTTCACAAACATCGAAACAGAGGCGTCGATTTAAAAAAAAAAATGCTCGAACACGTCATTTTTGTATTCACGGGGAAAACTTTTTGACCCCACCGGTATTTCGCTAGGGTGCACCCTCTTGGGTGGGGTGACATTCACCCCTGTTTTTTAGATAGTGAAGATGGATCGAGTGGTACTTTGTTTTACAGGTATTTTGATTCTCGTAACAACTGTGTATTTTTTTCGAAAATCAAATAATTAGTTCTCAAGATATTCACTGTCAAAGTTGCCATGGGCTGAATAAGAAAAAAGTTTTGGCCCTGTTATTCTCAAATTAAAACTTTCCTGACTTTCCTCTCACACACAGAAGCACACAAAAAATAAAAATTGACGTGTCCGAGAGGAGAGTCAGGAAAGTGTTAATATGAGAATAACAGTGCCAGAAGATTGTTTCCCTTTCAGCCCATCTTGAAAACTTAACATTGGATTTTCAAAAAAATATACGCAGTTGTGACGAGAATCAAAATACCTTTAAAACAAGCTACCACTCGACCCATCTTCCCTATCCTAAAAAGAGGAGTAAAAATCACCCCATCCAAGGGGTGCACCCCAGTGAAATACCAATGGGGTAAAAAGTTTCCCATTTAAATACAAAAATGACGTTCCGAGCGTTTTTTTTTAATCGACCTTTGAATAGTAAATACCCTAAAACGACTCTGTTTGGATGTTCGTGAAACACACTGTATATAGTATATATTACCTCTGAACCACAAACATAACATGGAGGGTCCTTTGCCAAGAGACAATAGGTACATTTCATGTTAGCAGTCACCTGGTCGATGTTGGTGTATTCAACTACATCTGCTGTTACATGTTCAATTTTTTTAGGCTCAGTTGAATTATCTGAAAACATCATAAATCCTGAACAATATAAATAAAATTTCCATTTTTTGGATAATCCATTAAAAAAAAAAAAAAAATACTAAGATTTCAAAAAATCAAATGATATGAACCTGCACGATGTTGCTATTGCTTTTCACTGATGTTTTTTTAAAAATATGTAAAGTCTCCCAATCTTGAGAGAAGATTTTCACTTCCAATTCCGGCCACCCATTCAAAACCGGGCTGTCAAGTGCCCCCTTGAGGAGGAGGAATCTATTGTTAAGGATCGTGGTGTGTATTTGGTGACCAAACTTAATTCCACTGATCACTTTGTAAATTTGAGAGGATCATTGAGATGGCCAACAGGATTTGGAGTTTTAAATCAGAACCTAAGTTTCTGATACATATCAATAGGCTGGAAGATATTAAAGGTTATTTTTGTGAAGCAAGGCACGTTTTGTTGAAAAATGGGATTCACTCATTGTCTGCTCTGAGAAGCAGAAGTGAATATAGAGTTGTGCTTTTTGTATTCAAGGTACTTCATAATTTTATTAGAAACTCAGAATGCCTTCAATCATTTATAATACATCATCTAATCGGCCCCTTCTGCATATCCTCTACTGTCGGATACTGTATCCTGTATCTGAAGGTAGTTGACTATCTAATCTGTCAGCTCAAATCCACTTATTACCATAGACATTATATAAAAAATCTAAGTTGTTTATTGGTTGGGCGGTAGAATCGAACAGAAAATAGATGAGAGAAAAAACTTTTTAAATCCTAATAATCTGTATTAAACAGCTACCTATTTCACAGCCTTATAGCTGCGTTTTCAGGCCAGCGAGACAGAGAAAATTGAATGTAACTTACAACAAAAAGCCGCTAATCACACATAACAAAAAACCAACAGACCTAAAGAAACAAAAGATCGATTTTAAAAACGTCATGAAAAAAAACAGAAGGAAGCCGATAATATAAATTATTAGATCCCCCAAAAACGGATTAATGAATATTATGTTTTTACATCTACTGTTTCACAAGAGGGTAGAAATTATAGTTGTTATATTCTAAACTGACACCAACTTTCAAGAGTTTCTGTAAATAGGATAACATACAGTTTGTCAAAACTCACCATCGGGAAAAGTAACATACAGTCTAAATTATATGTTTGGGGTGAAATAAATGTTATGCTAGTATGACGATGCAACACTTAAAAAATCGACTATACAACCTATAAGATTCCAGGCAAAAGCAAAATAAACGGCCTTGAGTCAGCACTTTTTCAGCCCCGTCCACCAAATTGACATTAATGATGTCTTTGTGCCTATTATATCAAGAAAATAAATTAGAAACTCGGGAAAAGTGAAATGATACACCTAGCTGTCAATCCCAACAGTTAACTCGATAAGAAACATTGAGGGACTCAAGATACAATACAATAATTTAAATAATAAGATGTATGAGGCATAAATAATGCATTGTTCATTTGATACCATTTTGTGAAAACTCAAACCCAGTTTGGTTGGTTGGTTGTGAGCGGGATCTAGGCGCTGTGGGCTTGCATGCACTGCAGCCTATTGGCTTATTGTGCACCCCAATTTCCTTCTTGCCCTATAATAGTCTTGTTCCCTGTATCAGGCCTAATAGCCCTTCGACAAGATTTTCAGGCGGTAGTCTGTATTGTTCCGAAGAGTCTATACCTTTTGTGTTATAGGGCCACACAGTCATATATGATGTGGGAAGCTGTTTCGTCTCCACATAGTCTGCATTCAGTGGGTCCATTGAATATCCCCATTCTGTGCAGATGCTTCCTCAAGTGACAGTGTCTTGGCAATAGCCCTATGACTTGTCTTATCTGTGTGCGCGTGAGTCGTAGCACGTCAGTTGGCTAGGTTCGTTGAAGGGTTTCCTATTATAGCCCTTGCGTAATTTTGTCCAGGTGTTGTAGTCCAACGGGCCAAATGTTGTCTTTTCGATCATTTATCCAGTGTTGACTTTTTCCTTGGCAAGCTGCTTCAGGTCAGTGAGACACTCCCAATGACCTATTACCACAGATAGACGGATTTCTAATTAAAAAAATATGTTGACAATATTTCCGATGCTTTCTATCCCACTACTCAAATGCCACATTTAGTCGTAGGAATATTTATTTTCTCTTTCTGACGCAGGTATAAAGTATTGCCTTTCAATGACACTTGGCAACACAGGACTAGACTAAACTCAGCCTCCTGCTTGTCATAGTAATATAAGTATAAGATAAATAGAAAATTAATCATTATTGTATTTTGTTTGGCGGTACCTGAGTCAACTGTGGTTGAGTTTCGTGATTATCCTGATTTATATTTCGTTTCGTGCAGTGTGGTGTTTTTTACAAAATTGTGTTAGATTTTGTGACCGGACTGAGACTTGAGAGACATTTACACTGAGCAAAGTGTGCAAGAGAAAGAATTATGCAAATCCGAAAGTAACTTTTCATTGGTAAGTACTTGTAGTTGGCGAAAGTCAAGCTTGGGTTATGGATTACAAATATAATTTCCTGATTGGAGAAGGGCATATATGCAAGGTGCATATTTTGCATGTTTTATGCATTATTTCATTCTGCATATTGCTTTGAAAAACCTGCATATAGTGCATAAAATTTATCAAATTTAGATAAAAGCCTTCAATGAAGGGAAGAATTTTTAAATATTCAACTATTCAGCAGTTAGGTAATTACCGGAAAACCTACCGTGAAAGATCCTTCACTGAGCCTTGCTATTGAAATTACACCACTGCTCATACTGGTGAGTGGTGCTTAAAACCTACCTACTCTGAGTACCTAATTTGGGACCTACTTGCCTAGGGTACTTGGCTGGAAGCTGCAATTTATTATGCAGACAATTTTTGTCCTTCTATTTTTTTTAGTTCTGGTATTAACGAGGGCATTGCATTATAGTCATTAATTAATTGATTATAGACCTTTGGTATCTCGATAACTATTGATTTAAAATAAACTTAATTGCAGGTTTCCACGAAATCCAGAAAGGAGAAATATTTGGTGTGCTATTCTTGGATTTGATCGAGAAACGTTACCCAAATCATTATTGATCTGTTATGATCATTTTCAGAAAACTGATTTCCATTTCCATTAATCGTGATGCGAATCCCGCCCTAGTTTATCCTGAGTATGTTCAGCCACAATCAAGGTTAGTTATAATTGTGTTTTCCTGAAGAGATTAAAAAAAAATTAACTTCTTTTTAGTTCTGATATAGAAAATGAGTCAAATTTGGGGATATTTGGTGACCGCACTCCAGAACGGAAGTGAGTAATAATTGGCAAGTGAATGGAGCAGCAGAGTGCTATTTATAGAATTGCAGTAAAAATTTGATTATTGCCAGACTTCAACAATAATAATAAAAGTAAATAAAAATCCTAGTTATATTATTTCATAGCGTATTTCTAGTTTAAATTCTTACTTTTCTATTACTTTATAGGTCTCTACATGGTGTAACATTAAAAGGTCTGCTAAATTCACTGTCGAATTCACCTGCTAGTAGTAATAAGTCCACAAAATCCAATGGCCTAATGATTTTATCTGACAGGTAAGCTAGATATAAATTAGACTTGTAGAGAATATTTTGTTATAACAGATTATTGTTTGTTGTAGAGCCTTAACCACCAAGGAAATGGACATGGCTCAAAATTTGCAAGTAGATGCATGTATTGCAGGCCCATCAGGAGTTACGTACATATGTACATTTTATGATAAGTTACTGCAATTAGAAGGTGAAAATAATGTACGAGAAATTTTAAAAAAATGCAAAATATGATTCTGAAAAAAATGATTTTTGAAAAAAAATGTAGACTTTTTCACGAATATGTAAAAAATACAATTATATTCCATAAAGTTTTTTAATGTTGCTCCATCTATCTTTTTTTGTTTCTATGTATAATTGTTTGAGAAGACTGATAATTTCCTTGTTACTTAACCTATTTTTCAGATTAAAATTGCCTAAATGGCCCCACACACTACGTTCTTTCTCGTCGGTTTTAATCGCCGCGATGAAACACGACGATCTAAAACCGAAGTGTGTGGTAGAAAACCGTCGTGTCTCATCGTCGGTTGAAAATTCAGTCCGAGCTTGATTTTTGGCACGACGGTTCAACATTTCCGTCCAAAACCGTTGTATGTGGATCCAACTGCCAAAGAATCTCGTAGTGTGTGATGAAAACAGGCTGACGATGAAACACGACCTTGTTAATCGGGACGATGATAACCGACGAGACAGAACGTAGTGTGTGGGGCCCTTAATGCAGTACAAATTGACCGACCATTTCGAGAGTCTTCAAGTACTCTTACTGCCTCTGATGAAGAAATAAGTCCATTGGAGATCCCAGCCTAAAAAAAGTTTCAAAAGGAAGCTCCCATTTAATTCAAATTTAACGTAAAAAAAAGTTTATATTATACTTAATTTGTATTGTCCGAATGATAATAATCATTTGTTTTTTGGAAATTTTAGGAAACACTACATAGGAGATTTTACTCGTAGCGATTTTGGAAATCGGTAACAGGAGAAGAAGTGTTTTTACTTATCCCGTGCACGCAATAAAACTTGTGAGAAATTGCCTCGGAATCTTCAATTTAGAAGGCGAGAATATAAATCAAATCGATTGAAAATACATTTCTAAATTGGTACATTTTCAAAATAAAGAAGGGCTACAAGCTGCCACAAAACTTAAATTGAGACATTTAGAATGGCAGATAGAAAAGATGAGAGTGCGTTTGGCTACACAAGTATTGAGCAAAAGTATCTGACGCATTGAAATTCTTGACTGAAGAATTGAAAATAGAAGAGTTTGAAGGGTCACTACCAACTGCAGAGTTTATCCTGAAAATAAATAATGCATTCGACATATTAAACTCCAGGAATTACTTTGGTAAATATTTCATCAAAAGACCACTCCCTCTTGCAACATCAGGAGCAATATTTGATTTTATGCAGGAATTATCAACTAATATTATTAATTTGAAAATTAACGG